CAAAATGGAGAACAAAAGCTAAACAGCTGATGCAGGAAGCACCACATTGCTGACTGGCACGGTGCATTCTTTTAAATTGATCCTGAACTTATCTGTTAAGCCATTTTATAAAATAAAATCATGTTAAGACAGGGACCTACTGCTCCCTTTGGTTTTGTTCTTATAAATGAAATAAGGATTTGAACTCAGAGTTGGGAATGCTGAAGTTGTATTGCAAAACACAGGCTGGATTACTGCTACTTAAGGGAACAAAATGTTATTTTTTTATGTTATATTAATCTTAGGATATAAGCAAATATTTGACTCACATGAAGCCAAGTAAATCCTGAGATTGTTTTTCATGAAGACACATGATTTTTGAGATTTTTCTCTTGACTGTGACTTCTTCCAGTGGTTTTAGTGTTTATTATGACGTGTGTGAGAATGACAAAATTAAAACTGATTTTGATAACCTAAACATAACACCCTTTCCCACATTCAAAATCTCCAAACCCAAATCTCTGTAGATTAGAAAGATAAAACAATATGAGAATCATCTATTCCTATCTCTGTGGAAAAGCTGCTACTCTGCTTACTGGCTATAATAATACTCCTGTTGTACTAATTTCATACATGTTAATTGTTAGCCTAAAAATAAAAATGCCTTACCTTCTGCGAGGCGTATCAGGCTCTCCAAGAGGCGGATGGTGGTCCGGGCAGCGTTCCTGCAGTCACTCTGACGCTGCATTTGATAGTAGCGGACAAGGATCAGGTTGCTCTCCTCAGACAATTTTGGCTGTATGCTTTTTATAAGGCAGAAGTAGGTTTTCATCTTTTCCATGCTCCAGAGCTTTTCTGATTTGCTTGGGCAACCTGAATTACAATGGCCTTGTCAGTAATTCTATAACAACAGACATCAAGCTTCTTCCTAAGAATTCCTGGTAAATAGACAGGTGACTATAAAAGACATAGTACTGTATTTTTGGGGCATACTAGCTGGTCTGCACACTAGTCCTCAAGGACATGGTCAAAGTCCAGTGCAGAATTTTATACACCATCCAATCCCACCCCTATCAAAATCCACAGTAAAGCCTCCAGTAATACCAACAGAACTGCTGTCAGCCTCACTGCCCACCCGATGGTACAGGCAGCACCAAGTGCTCTGGAATTCCTTAGAATGAAAAATGCTACATGAGTGTATGTACCTCCTCTGGCCCTGTTACCTACTTCGTAGGAGCCAAAAGCTACCTGCCATCTTTTGAACAATGTCTGTAAGGAAATGTTTTGGAAAGGGAAGGAAGTTAAGTGAAAAAGTTTCCTCTAACCACATCGGGAACACTGTATTTCATTCTTTGAGCCCTGCAGTACATGCAGCTCAGATCTGTTCTGCCTGAATTAAGTCTCCCATTAACAGCAAGTACAAATGCATAGTCTGTAGGATCTGCAGATGTAAATGTGCAAGATGGGACAAATCCACTTACTGAGCAACCTGAGCTGAAATCTCTTGTAAACAATCACAGAGTAAAAGCACAGTGTTCTCAGCTCAGGCCTCTTAATTTATTAGCAAGCTCTATCTTAGTCCTACTTGAAAAACAACCACACAGCAGAAAACCAGCATGATAAAAATGTAAACACTGATTAGCATGAAAGACTCCAGACTAAAAAAGGTAGGGAAATAAAAAAAAAACAACAACCCACACTAAAAAAAAAAAACAACAGGCAAGCAACCAAAAATGTACCCTACAATTTAAAAAAAGACTACCCTTACCTTTATTTTGCAAGATGAAGGATGAAATGATGCGGTCCCATTCCTCATTCTTTGTATCTAACAATACTAAGACCAGGTCAAATCTGCTCAACAGGGGACTGCCAAGAGCTATGTTGACTGAGACAGACTCATTAGGGTCATAATGGCCTTTGGGGTTCGTTGCTGCCAGGATAGTTGTCCTTGTATTAAGCTTGCACACCAAGCTAGAGAAAAATACAGTCAACATTATGGTTGAATTAAACTGGGCAAGGAAAATTACGTCAAAGTGTTGAAAAATTTTCACATTTTTATGCTATAAAGAGCACACCTTATTTTGAAAGACCATAAGAGCTAAACAATATATCAATTATTATATTAATATTTATTATGTGTACAGCATTTCTCAGTCAGAGAACAGCAATGAGACACTGACCTGGATACCAAGCATAACTGACTAATACTGCCACAAGTAATCTCTCTTTACAGCTATGTCCTTAAATAGTGAAAAACAGCATTACTTTTCAGAAATAAATCTTACTTTGCAGGTTCATACAGTATAAAACCACTTTTTAATGCTAGAAAATAACATTTTAGCATAATTCAGTTTTTCAGAGAGCAAATAAAATGTAATAGAAATATGTTTTATTCCTATATGTAAACATGACTATGAACCCAAGCAAACAATGATGGCAGCCATATCAACTGAAACAGTCATTTTCTTCTCTTAATGGTGTCCTAGCATGTGTTTGTAGATGTGGGGAGAGATTATTTTTATTCTAGTAGTCCAAATGCACTCTTTTTGGTTAAGGCAGCAGCAGAAATATTCTAACTTTGGTTTGTCACTGAGCTATTTCTAGTCAGCTCCTGAGTAACTGCTGCCTCACACCCAAAGTTCTGTAACTGAGAGGAAGGACCACAGACCTATTAAGCTTATACCCAACAGGAAAAAAAGCTTATCTCCCATGCACCAAAAAAAGACCTAAATTATCAAGGTGCTTAACCTATCTGTGCTAAATTGCCACTCAAAAAATCCTCATTATATGTAGTCCTTAAAAGTGAGCAACTGAGGCTACACATACAAATTAGCAAACTGTGTTTGGGGCCTGCAAAACCCAACCACCTGCAACAAGGAACTCAGCTGAAATATGTCAGTGTCTTACTAAGCAGACAGGGCCATGTTGATTCCAAATATTTGTGCCCAGCTGCATTACAGGCAAAGGCTAGTAATCTCCCAGGTGAGACTGGCATTACTTGTCTGCTCTGTCAAAGAGGGCAGAGAGAGCTTCAGGGGAGATGCTCAGAATAAGGAAATGACATCATCAGTTAGAGGAGCCAAGATGTTATCAGAACAAGAGCTGAGTTGAAGGCAACAATGAGGAATATGGAAAAGGTGATACCTTTTCAGTAGCAGAGATTGCAGCAATACCAGCCGGGAAATTATTTGGCCCTGGGCAAGAGCAAGTGCCTGACAGAATGAGACACAGGCTCAAAGATCCAAGGAGTGGGTGTGGTGGTGGGGAATAGCAGATTTGAACACACACTACTTTGCAAAAAGGAAAACGACGAATTTAAAGTAAGCAGCAGTTTATTTTTATGCCACACCCAGCACATAAAATTCAGCAGCCTGGAAATCTCTTGCTCTGCTTTTGTTCCCATGCAGTATTACGGGATGTGACAGGACAAGAGGACATAGCCTAGAGCTGTACCAGGGGAGGTTCAGGTTGGACATCAGGAAGAATTTCTTCACTGAAAGGGTGGTCAGGCATTGGAAGGGGGTGCCCAGGGAGGTGGTGGAATCACTGTCCCTGGAGGTGCTCAAGAAATGACTGGAAGTGGCACTTAATACCATGGTCTAGTTGATCAGGCAGGTGGTGATTGGTCAAAGGTGATCTTGAGGTCTTTTCCAACCTTTATGATTTGGTGATTCTATGATTTTGGAGAAATGAAGTCCCATTTTCTGAGTTGCAACCAAAAAAAGTCACAAAGTTCTTCATTTCATATATGATTATTATGACCACTTGCAGCAAAGGACAAGAATAAGAACACCGAGTCTTCTTAGGAAAGTGTCCTGGCCTACAGTGTTAGATTGAAAACCCAGCAGTGAAGAGGCTATGCATTTATTGTGGGCCCTCACAAACTCTGGTCCAGTGTGCTGTCCTTTGAAATGCTAAATCCTCTAGTTTAAGAATACTGCTGAGAACAAAACGATTAAACACAACAAAGAAAACAAAAGCATTTAATCAGTATGACATACCTCCCTCCAACTTGTAAGTGCAAGAGAAACACCCTATGTCGTTTGAACACTTACCCTGCCTTTGCAACACTGATGGTTTGTTGCTCCATTGCCTCATGGATGCTGGTTCTGTCATGTTCTTTGATACTATTGAACTCGTCAATGCAACAAATGCCTCCATCTGCAAGCACCAGAGCTCCAGCTTCCAAATTCCACTCCCCAAAGTCCTTCACAGCAGTCACTGTCAAACCTGAAGAATCAATAACTTCAGTCAGTCTTTTCCTTAAAATGCAGAAAGAGACCTGGTGCACTGGCTTGTGCCATGGACAGAAGGCAAACCAGCAGGGTAGCTCCACCACAGACCTCTACCACGTAACTCGACAGCTACTGGTAAGCAATCCCACTAGCACTGCAGCAGGTTAGCCTGGAGCTGAGGAGCAGATTCTGTTAAGCTTCCCATGTATAATTGTGACTTGTTTTAGAACTTTGCTAATGGAACAGAAGAGGGTAAGAAGACTAGGTCTCCCTAGGCCAGATTGTATTAAAATGAGGGCAAATGCAAAGATCACAACATTATGGAATGGACTCATTCAGCTCCTCCTCCTCCTCAGCTACCGAAACACACAAAAAGTTTGGAGCTGCAAAGCAAAATTTAGAACAAAAATTACATTTCAGTCTTCATTTAACTCCTGGGCCCAGGAAATGGAGACAAATTCTCCCCTTAAACTAAGGCAATTATATTTCTTTATGTGATTTTGGTTTCCTCTAAGCATTAAGCAAAAATGAAAATCCAAAGATGCCCAAGGATGAAATGAGGAAAGAAAAACCAAAAAACCCCAGTAAACCTACACATGATACAACACTGGGTGGATGGTAAGTCAAAAACACTCCACTCTTCCACAGGCTGTGGAAACAGCTACTCATTATCAAGTACATACAGCTCCTTTCAATCCTTCTATTCCCTATTCCCCAGCTTCTTCTCTATCTTTAGCCCTCCTTTTTCACTCCAGTGTTCAGCTCAAAATATCCTAGTAGTTGACAAGCTGCAACCAGCCTAAAATCTCCTGGAATTCTATGGCAAAACCTGCCTAAAATCGCCCCCCTTCCCCCCCCCCCCCCCCCCCCCCCCCCCCATTTTGGTTCAGGGAAGAGAGGCTGCAGAGTCTTTCTCATCACTGCACAGCCCACCACAGCACCCATTTGTTCACAAATGGCCAGCAAAAAGCTGTTGGAAATATGTTTCTTGATGACATAATATGTACTTCAGCTTGTTGTGAGGAATCTTCTCCACTGTGTCCAGTCTTTCTTGGTTTTCTGGATGCTGCACCAAACAAGCTGGGCAGTCAATCACATAGTAGCATTATACAAAACACAAACTAACCTCTAACCTTGCGTCAGACGTGGAGAATGCTATTAAAAAGTGTAACAAGGAACAGACTGGGCAAGTGTCAGACAATGACATTTCTTTGTAAAGAGTCAAAAAGTGTAATCTCCTTTCCAAACCATGCACAGGCTTGGGAATTTAGCTGAAGCTCCACGACCCAGCACTGTGCTCTCACTCTCTGCAGACCTGGCAGCCCTCTGCTCCTGCCAGCAGGGCTCAGCCTTGCCCCTTCCCACAGGGGTGGAAAGACATCTCCATGCCCTCCTGCTGTGCACATTCCACTGCAGCCAAGAGCTCTCTGCAGACAGCACTAGCACCTGGCTGTGAATTTATTTCCACACAGAACGTTCTCCTGTGGTGTGGGTACACAACTCACACCCCCAGGAGCCCTGGGCACTTTCTGCTCTCCTCCCACAGGCACATGAGGTGTGTCCCTGGTGCTGCAGTGCTGTGTCACTGCTCTCCTCCCTGAGATGGCTTCTCTGTGGCACAAGATGGCCTTCCACTGGCCTCCCTGCTGCACAGGGTTACGTGGTGCTTCACAGTTTTCTATGTTACCCAAGCTCTCCTTCACAGATTGATGTAGGAATGGGATGGCTCCTGGACAGCACAGCTGTGTCAGGCACGCTCCATTCCCCATACAGCCCCTCTGCAGGTCCTTCTCCAGCAGCAGCGATACATGGTCACAGCAGAACTTGGGGTGATGCAGACTGTCTGTCCCAGCCAGGGCACCCCACCAGCAAACCCCCTTGACTCAAGGGCTCCCCAGCGAGCCAGGTGCTGTCACATCTCCTCCTGGCAGGCTGCTGTTGGCCAGGAGGTCAGTGCCATGGTGCTGAGCAGGGCACTGCAGCTCCCCTGTGGGGTTGGCTCATGAGCCAGATATCCATGCACAGCCCTGACTGGGGGTGGCCCTGGCACCCCGGACCCTGTCATGGAATCATCAAGGTTGGAAAAGACCTCCAAGATCACCAGGTCCAACCATTAAACTGTCACTGCTGTAACCCCTAAACCATATCTTCCAGCACCAGATCCAGATCCCTCTTAAAACACCTCCAGGGATGGTGTCTCCACCACCTCACTGGACAATGTATTCCAGTGCCTGACCACCCTATCAGTGAAAATTTTTTTCCTAGTATCTAATCAGAATCTCCCCTCCCTCAGCTTATATGGCATCCTGGCTTGGACCAGGAACAGCCTGGTCAGCAGGACCAGGGAGGTGATTCTGCCTCTGTACTTGGCGCTGGTGAGGCCACACCTTGAGTACTGTGTGCAGTTCTGGGCCCCTCAGCTCAGGAGGGATATTGAAGTGCTGGAGCAGGTCCAGAGAAGAGCAACGAGGCTGGTGAAGGGTCTCAAGCACGAGTGGCATGAGAAGAGGCTGAGGGAGCTGAGGGTGTTTAGCCTGGAGGAGGCTCAGGGGAGACCTTATTGCCCTCTACAACTACCTGAAAG